TAAATGTTTATAAATATGTCAAGGGGGAGTTCCAAGAGGACGGAGCCAGGCTCTTTTTAGCAGCATCCAATGACAGGACAAGGGGCAATGGGTACAAGCTGGAAAACAGGAGGTTCCACAAAAATATTAGGAAAAGCTTTTTCACTGTGAGGGTGACAGAGCACTGGCACAGGCTGCCCAGGGAGGTTGTGGAGTCTCCTTCTTTGGAGACATTCAAAAGCCGCCTGGACGTGTACCTGTGCAACCTACTGTAGGTGATCCTGCTCTGGCAGGGGGACTGGACTAGATGATCTTTTGAGGTCCCTTCCAACCCCTGACATTCTGTGATTATGTAGCATGGCTGACATGACTTTGGAAAGGCTGTTTTCACATTCTGCAGCTAGATTTCACAGCCTTTATTTACTTTCTCTATGCTTGTTAACTTCATATTAACTTTGTAATTTACCAGAAGTAAGAATGATGTAAACACACTTTTGAACTGAATTCCTGGTTCAAAATAACGTTATCTCTCAGGAGCTAGTGGGGAAGGGAGAGAGGTATTTGGTAAAAGAAGACTTTACATCCTTTAGAGCTGCAATTTAAAGAGCTGTGTTATTTAAGGCAGTGATGAACCAGTCATTCTATTTCTAACTGTATCATTCTAGAAAAAAGGGACTTGAAAGGACAAACAGTTACTCACTTCAATCTCTTTAGAAGGGACTCCCTGTTCCAGCAATCCACGAAGCATCCTGATCACTGACTTCAATTTGGCTCCTGAGTACTTGCCTCCAGGGACCACGTTCACAGTAGGGAGTGCAGAGAGCTCTTCATTTGTCACTAAAGGGAAATCTAACAGAAGAACAAGACTGATTGATACAAATAAATAAAAAGCTAAAACTAGGGAAACTTAAAAACTGTAGTGAAATGTTAGATTTTCTTGTTGCTGTTCACCACTGTACTACCTAGTTTTTCTACAATGTCTCCAGAGAGAATACACACGTGTTCTCTCAGATTGGCAGGCAAAAACCAAATTAAATAACAAAATCAATTTCATGCAAAATCAGCTTTGATAAATCCAAGAACCAAAGGTAGTATTTTCCTGAACTTCCAATAAATACATTGAAACAAACTTCAAATATATTTGAAATGTAAGTTCTTCACATAGTAACCTACAAAATTGATGAATGCACACTGGGATGAATGCAGAACTCTCCATTTAATTATCACAACCTGTGACTTCATTTTTAGCACTTATACTCAATGTGTCTTTCAAGTGTTTCATAAGATGTCTTAAATACATATTTTTTTCCAATAAAGATTGCTTTCTGTCAGGCCTCCAGTGTTTCTCTGAAGCACAGCAAAAATAATAAACCAAGAATCTCTGATATTGCAATTAAAAATGTCCTAAATCTACTGACTTTAGACTAAAGTTTTACATGGATTATCCTTCTCTTTTAATGGATGCAGGCAGAAGGCTGCTGTACATGAATTTCAGGAACTCAGACCTCTAATGCTATCTCAAAAAGCAGAGACTAGATTTTGCCAAACGTATCACACTAAGTAGTGTTGCACTCTGCCACCTTGAGCAGCAGTGGAAGAATGAGTGTCAATACAAAGCAAAAATGTTGCCTAATTTGAGCATGGAGTAGCCAGTATGTGAAATGCATTATCTATCTGACCATCTATATTGTTACAGTTATTGTCAGACAGATACTCTGGAAGAAAGTATCTCAGCTCGTTTCAGCTTTACTACAACTACAGGTGCAACGCTGCCAATACTTGTTCCTATTAATTCTCACATAGTTATTACACAAAGCTGTGAAGAACCTTTCCAGTAGGTTGCTGAGGTCTTAGATTTCCTATTATACCTGTCATTATACACTCAAAACATGTCCAGGACACTTTACATTCACTTCTGACATTTTGTCTATTTAATGTGATCCTCAGTTTTCCACTGATTATTTGTTAAAGTTCTTGCCTTTATTTACATGTTCCTGACTGACTGACTCAATTGGCAGTTCATCACTTCCCCACGTGATTTCATCCTCATCTGCTTGGCTCGAGGGAGGTTGTGGAGGAGACCTGTAAGAGGACAAGGTATGACAGTTAAGAAAGAACACTTAGAAATAACCAAAACATTTGCAATTTAAGAACAAATTGCCAGGAATTAATTTACAGCTACAAGTATTTCTGAACTGGATACATACCAGTAATCTGAAAAAACTACCTTTTTTTCCTTCTTTAAATCCCCAGCAGCGATTTGAAAAAAAGTAACAGTGAAAGACGACATGAATCTAGTAGCAACTATCACTGCAATTGCTTCAAAGGCCAAGCAGTCAAATAAAACCCAATAGCAGTTTTGTACCATTCACATTATTCATTACCTACACCTTAGAATATCTACTTTCAACAGCAAGTTTTCTAGCTTTGTTGAAGCTTTATTTATTTTAGATCATAATGTCGCTGCTTGTGCCAAGTCTTGACCCAAAACTTCCCACAAACTTAAATCAAAACATAAAAAGTATATGGAGTTTGACTGAAGGTTAACTTAGGATAAGGACTAAAATTATTCCCCAAAGAATTCTTGGGAATTTTCAAAATTCAAAGTGGCTTGAAGGGGCAGCTAGTTAACTTGGCCAGGCCAAGTTACTTTAGTTTGCCACGTAAAAACAATAGCACCCAAGCACCCGAATGGGAACAGATCAATCAATGGAACTACACAGTTTAGTTTCTGTGCTCTCAAAACAGAACAGGTAACATTATTAATGTTGACTCTTGTAAAGATTCAAAGTGAAGACAGCATTGACGTATAAGAACCATACTGTTAGCAGAATGCAAATTAAGTTATCTGTAGCCATCTGAACGCAGCCCAGTTACTTGTTATAATCAGATATCATAAGAATAAATAAAACTAGGGCGTAGTAAACCACACAAAGCTGAGTACTATTTAGATAAATTATAACCTTTTAAATAAGAAGAACAGACGGAGAGCAATTCACCAAGACACTACACAGATACTTGATTGGATTTATTCTGATTTGGGGTTTGTTTTGTTTTTATTTTCTCTCCTTGTAACATCTCCACCTTCAGAGTTTCAGACTTTACAGGTTTGCTTTCAAGAAACACTTGAAAAGAAATAATTACCTTTCTGGTGTAGCTTTTACTTCACAATAGTCTTCACAGCCATTTACATGTGTTGGCTAGTGGAAGAAATGTTTCAAAACACATTAAAGGACATTATAATTGTTTAAAAATTTACACTGAATGAGTGTTAACAACTATGTGGCCTATTTCTGAAAGGTATCAAGTACAAAGCATCACATAATGAAAGGCTTTCCTCTTTTAGACATCTCATTAACCCAAAATAACACAGGATGAGAACACTGAGCACTTTGCTGTAACAAGGCCAAAAAGCTATCTTAAAATAATTTCTGACTCACAGGAGCACCTGAGCCATCTAAATTTTCTCCAGTTGTTTTGGTTTTAATACTTAAAACCCCTTTATGAGGTTAAGTTTGCCAGTGAAAACTTCTGCTTCCTCTTGAGCCAGCTTTCCTATATAGAACAAAGCAGGGCTTTAATTTGCAATGACAGGTACTCCTTCCTCAGAAGACAGCACTCAGTAGAGAAGGTGGTATTTTAATCTTCAAGAACAAATCTACAAAATAATTTTTATACTTATTAGGCCAGCCTGCAAGTTTCTACTGCCATACTCAGAGAATTTTACTTGTGGATCTGGCTCAGCTCAACTAACTGGAGAGAAAGCTGCAGCCACCAGGATGTGCTGGATAGACAGAGTTCTGCTGATTTGAAATATGAGACAAAACCTGGGCATCTAGTGACTGACGTAAAACTGGATATGCAACAATGTAGGTAAACCACATATTCAAGTTAATAAACATTTCCTAACAAAATTGAGAGGAAAAGAAATTGCAAATTTACATTTTGGACAGTTAAGTCTAGACAGCATTCATTGTGATCGCTTCCCTTTTTTAAGCAGGAGTGAATTTAATCTTTTAGATTAAATGCCTGAAATAACACTAACAAGGTAGTTTATTATCACCCTTCTTGAAAACATAGATAAAAAAAGCTGTTGAGCTTTACATGAGAAACAGTGCCAAATAGTTCTATGCTTTGTTTTCTCATATAATTAATTTATGATAGAATAATAATACATTATTATAACTACTACTGACAAAGATGTCTTCGTTTAAAAGACATGTAAAGTTATTTCCACAAGTTCTATGCCAATAAGGAAAATAATAAATTGAAAGAGCGTCTTGAGAAAGCAAAATCAGCAGATGAATGTCTGCCAGCTCTCTGCCACCCCACCTCTGAAAAATCTTCAGGTAACGATGACCCATCACAGTCTGTGTCTTCAGACTTATCTTCTGTCAGCTTTCCATTCATCTCTACTGGAACAGGAAAATCAGGAGATGGCATAAATACAGTAAAAGATGCCCAGCAGTCACCTTCTCACAGATGTGAATCCTGTTACACCTGTCCGGCACTACACAGGAAATACAGGTGCCAGAACAACCGAGAAACATCTTTTAAGTCCCTTTGCTACCAGTGTGTTGCAACAGAGGTTTTACTGTACAGGATAATCAGACTTCAGGCTTCTTTCTTTAATGGGAATAGCTGTCATTACATGTGAAATTGTTCACACAGCTAACGGAGCATCTGTGCCACAGCGTAATGGATGGACACACTGGTGCTAAGTTATCAGATCTCCATGTCAATAGTGTTTCTGCAATTCAGTTAACGTTTAAGACCAGAAGTAGGTCTAAACCAGGATTCTACTTGCTCTTAGTATTAACAAGACCTAATTAAGATGTGCTGGATAAAATCTGACTTATATCTGTCTGCTACAATAATTGCCTTATGCATTCAATTAATCTTCAGTTACAAACTAGCTACAAGAAATTCCAAGTAGTGGAGCTTCAATGATACTCCTCAGCTGAGGTCCTGGAACAGCCAGAACCTTAGAGCTTCCTGATTCCTAATCTAACGACCAAGGACAATAACCCAACAAACTTGAAAAGCAGCAAAAGAGATGAAAATTATAATCTTGGAAAGTATACAATTAGCAAGCATATTGCTTGAACTTTTGCAGCATGCATACATATTATGACACCACAAAGGAAGCACAAATCTTACTCCAAGCTAAATTTCAGTTAATAACAACCAGAGCTGAGGAGGTGGAATGAAGGAAAAGAAATGTGTACAGAAAGAAACAGGTACTGATTAAAAATCGGTTTTCTAAAAGAGACAAAGCAAGTCGGCAAGTTGGCAAATTAACTTTAAGAGTTCTCAGCACATTTCCAAGTTGTGCAATCTGCAATCAATTAAATACTGAAATGCTTCAGCACTTCAACACGACTGTAGCTGCAGTACAAGGCACCTAGACAACATCAATTCTACTCAAGAGACAGTTCCAGAATGGGATTCACGTTCCCAGATTCCTTAAAGGAAAATCCAGATTTATCAAGCTAGAACTTGACTTACTAGATCACATGTGCAGTTCATTGGAATCAGTAACTATCTGTCCGTGTTCTACTTGGGAAACTTTAAGTTCACACATCAATTCAATGTCAACTCTCCCACTTGCTAAATCATTTGCTTACTTGGCATCTTTTTTCAAGAAGTATTTTCCTGTTAATAATATGCTTTTTTTTAATGGTTTATGTTACCTGGCAGGTGATCTGACACAGCCTTCTTGAGATGCAGAAGACTATGAGCCTCTGAAGTTGTGTTACGATTTAAGAGGTTCTGGGCTTCCTCATCTACAACATCCAACAGATACTGGACAACTTCATTGTGATCATCCTCATCATAATAATCATCATCTGGAACCTCTGTTTCTAAAGAGAAATAGTATAAAATTATAAGTTTTCCCAGTATAGGATGTTCTGTGGGAAAAAAAATAAACAGGCAGACACCATGGCGTTAGTTCTACCTGTTATTGTGACTTTCCTTCATTTCTCTCTAGCACAGACTCCAATTTCCATAAATCTACTTCCAACACCAACTAACTGCTCTAAAGCAAAGCATGCAATTTGGAAATGATTTTCTAAAACTGACTGCCAATCTAACATTGACTTATTTCAGCCTATTCAACAATGCCTCGATTCTCTCATACACTAAAGACTGAATGTTGCTGTCCGCATTTCACCTCCTCTTACCCGAATTATCACTGTGTTTAGAAATATCTGACATCTCATTGGTAAAGCCAAGGGAAGGTGCATCTCCAGATTCTGAGAGATTTGTTAGTTCTTTTGTGTGATGGATATTGTTTTCTGTATTTGTCTGAGAAGGTCCTAGGATGCCATTGCCATTTATCTAAGAAAGTGAAGAACAATACACATGAACTCCTAAAGAATCTGGTAGTTGTTGAAGCAGCAAGCAATCCTTAAAAAAATCATTGCTTTACTTAGCAACAAATAAAAACCCCTATTCATACCATACTCTCATTGAGATAGCTAGATGATGGGTAGGGAGCTTTTAGGTGTGTTAGAAGTTTCACATGAAAAAAGAAAATAATTTTTTTTAAAGCAACTATGAAAAATAAGAAACAACTACTACAACAGAATGCATAGCAGTACTTTATTATAACCTCTATAAAACACATGCAGGCTTCAATATTTTTGGTCCCACAAGACATCATTTCTCAGAAAAAACAAAAGAGGGAAAAAAGAAAGAATACATTCTAGCAAATGTAACATGCAAGCATCTGCAGAATCTGTGAACAGAATGGAGTCTTCTGGATCACAGCCTTGCATCTTTCTCATAAGACCCTTTGTCTTTCAATAAAGCAGTCCCAAAGCAAGAGAAGATCAATTCAAAAAAACTTGCATGCTTATGATCACTGCTTATTCACATCAACTGACAACAGTGGGTTTGCATAATTCATTAATGTATTCTTTAATAAATTCATTAATTTTTAAAATGTGTGTTAAGTGGATCCTTTTCTCCAGTTAATGGTAACAGGCATAATACAGGCATATTTACCGTGGGCCCATAAGCATCAGCTGTCTTTTCTGTTTTATCACAGGGATCACCACAGGAACAGCCTGAACAAAAATGGGAGAAAACAACAACTTCATAGCAACTTTTCCACAGAAATTAAATTAGCCCCCATCAATTATTTTTTAAAAAGCAACAAAGTATTTAATATCACCTTATGAAATGAATAAAATCTGCATCATTCTTTAAAGGTACCCTCTCTTCTTGGTAAAGAAGAATGTGACACTCTGCTATCACAGACCACTGCCTGTATTAGACATCCCATTACTAGTATAATGAGACAAAGTAGAACCAGTACATGCTGTACACCTAGCTACAAGTGAAGTTCTAGATTTTCACATACATTATGCTTTTCCAAACAAAGAACCTTGTAGATGAAATAACTGAAGGCTAAGAGTAACCTTCTCTCTTGTTGTGCATAGGTTCATGACTAGTCATTTACAGGAACGGATTTTTAAGTGGAGTGTTCCAAGGTTTGGTTTGTAATGAATATCTTGATTAAGTTTTCTGAAAGAAAACGTGCAGCATACTTTAAAAATGTGTGAGCAATGCTGAACTGTAAAAGTTGCAATAATCTGGTAAGGCAAAATCAATACTCAAAGTTATCTAGATACATTAAAGTAAGCACAAAAAACAAATCTATGATGAATTAAGACAGATGCAAAGTGCTCCATTTTAAAGAAAAAGCAAATGCTTAAGATGGTAACGTAGGTGGTAAAGAATTCTGAGTCAAAGTGAGTGAACAAGGAACTAATTAGCAAAAGGAAGTTAATCTCACTCAGCATGTATTAACAGGAATGCTGGCTACACAACCCTGGAAATAATTCTTCCTGTCTGCTTGGCACTGGTGAACCTCACCTAACGCCCTGTGTGTGACCAAAAGCACCACACCTGAAAACAGCAAGATGTAAACAAGCTGGAGAAGAGCACTAAAATCAGTTTGGGCTCCTTTGGTCTTGAAAAAGAGAAGGTGAACAGGAGACCTGAAGCCCTTTCAAGTGTAACAAACTGGTACTTTTATGTCTAGTCAGAGAAAACATTATTAGTAAGTATTAGTATCTATTAGTATTAGTAGTATTATTATATTCCTTGAAAGAATTATGCTTGATATTACAGAGAATTTCTAAACTACATGCAAAATGGAATCATAAAGAGATTATTGTTGAATCTCTTCTCATGGAGTTTTAAAAATAAATATCAAGCAAACACCTGTAGGAGCTGATCTCTGTAAGTGGAGTTCTAGTGCAGCTACTGGACTAGGATGGTATCTTACCACCTGTATCACTTCCTTCCATTTTTATAAATGTGCATTTCAATTGCAGTAAGTAAGCAAGCAAATCGTACCATTAGCTTTCACTGGCCATGGACTTGAGTTACCAGAGGTTTTGGATTTTGGTAGCACTGCGTGACCATCTCTATGAAAAAAAATATTTACAGAAAATTTTATTAAAAAAAAATAAAAATCCCTTAATCATCAGATATTCATGTAAATATGTAGTATCAAGTAAAATTGCTAATTTTCTATTGCAATACTTTCAGGATACTTAAAATATTCAATGAGAGAGATTAAGCACTGGCAGGTTACTTCCTACTTCAGAGAGCACCAAAGAGTTTGTTAGAGCTGGACTTTCCTTCAGATTCTGACAAAATATTTGACTTTGCAAGCATATGACTTTGCAACTCCTTTCCCTTACGGACTAAAACTCAGTGCAAAAGAGAAGGGGAGAGAGGAAGCAAAGCATGGTAGGCATGGCTGGAAGACTTCAAACACAAAGTAGAAGTTTCGGTCCCAGGTAAATATTGAAACTCTGGAGAAGTTTTTTGAGACTGCTATATTGCCATAAAAGAAGCAGCAGGGATCAATGAAAATACAGTGGTGCACAAGGATCTGTGCCACAAGACTTTGATGTTCACCAGTGTACTGGGACATCTATGTGACAGTAGAACTATTTAAGCACAAAACAATATTTAATCTCCTTTTCATGATTATAGAAGCCTCAATAGCAGTTTTAAGAAAAAGGAGTAATTGTATTTAAAAAACCTGTGTCATATTTTGAACATTTCATAGCTGGACACAGCTTTGTCTTCCCAAGAAACAAAGCACAGCAAGTACTAATCACCATTCAGCTCCACTGTAGCACAAGAAATGCAAATATACAGACCCTTTGTTGGTTCAGTCCTCAACAACATGCTACCTAGTACCCATCTAGTGAATTAGTTGTCATACCAGGAACTTGTTTTACCCATTACTCATACAGTCACGTGAGAAAAACAAAACGTACAGGGAAGTATTTGCTTCTAAAACATACCTGGTCGCTTTGAGCACCACTTTTGGCAGGTATGTTTCCAGCATTCTTCTGGCTTCTTTCAGAGTCATTCCCTGTGTGCTTACTCCATTAATGTAATGGATAATATCTAGTACACGGAGACTCTCCTCTCTAGCAGCAACCGATTTGGGGAGAATGTCACTAATATACACAACTTGGTAAAGGCTGTCATGACCTCCTGATAACAGCAAACCTTTGCAGGAAAAAAAGGAGGGGAAAAGAAATAAAAAACAAGTACTTTTGTTGTAAATGAAGAGAAAAATTTTGCTTTAGACGAAAAAGAAGTGTACTTCTGTGTTACCTAGCTCCTCCTTATGGCATGTAAGTGTTATATCAGGCAGCAAATGAGGCAACACTGGCATCTTAGGTAACTCCAAAACACGGCCTAGCACTAATTTGACAGTCTTTGGGGCAGTGCGAAGAAAGTTTACTGCATCGGTATGACTCATGTTAGTGACATCAATATCATTAACCTGCAAAAAAAACCACAACAGAGATCTCCTTGTAAGATTCCAGGTAACTGTTTTAACATTACTGCAGAAACATTTATAACCGTTCCTATTGTTGACATTTGACATTAAACTATAGAACAAACGCATGCTTTATTACAACAGTTGCAGTTCTTAACTCATACCCAAGGAGACAGAACACATAAATGCAACTGACCTTTCACAAGTGAAGAAACAAGTTTACAGTCCAAATGTCAAAATATTAAACAATCTGAAGAAGTATTTTTTTTGCTGTTCCTGTTTAAAAATTAGAACGCTATAAATGCATATGCCAGCACCTGAAAGTCTGACTTACAATCTAATGTGATTTGACTTGTATTTGCCTAACTGTATCAGGGTTTAGTATTATGCAGCAGTGCTTCAGTGCCTTGATCTAGCAACAACTCATACGCGTGCTCTGGGTTATGCACTTCATCTCTATTGTTCACAGTCCCTGTACACCTAAAGGCAAGTTTGCAATAGATCGGAAACTAATACTATAAAGGAAAGGATGCCATCCAGCGAGACCTGAACAAGCTCGGGAACTGGGCCCATGTGGCCATCGTGGTTCAACAAGGCCAAGCGCAAGGTCCTGCACCTGGGCTGGAGCCCTGCAGAGAGGACTTGGGGGTACTGGTAGATGTACGTGACTAACAACCCTCTCCACATATTTGAGAAACCGTCTTATTTAATCAATCAATACTTTTCTCTTTAAACCATTATTTGCCACAATGAAGAGTGGTTGCACACATGCCTAGCTGTGGGACATACCATAACTCCCCACAGCGATCTCCTCTCATTTTCATGCCTGTATTTCTTTTGTCCAAGTGTTATGAAATTATCCCTATCAGGAGTGAATGTCTTTGTTCCCTAACTATATTTAGTTTGGTTTTGCTTTTTTTGATTCAAAGTTGTCCTTTTCATGCAATCCTCATATCTGAAAACATCAATTTCCTTACTTTTATCAGTCGGTCTCCAGGTCGTAGTCTCCCATCACTTTTGGCAGGATCCTGAACAATGTCATGAATGTAGCAGCCAACGTTATCGTTACCTTTGGTCACTGTAAAACCCAGACTACCCTTTTCTGACTTTGTCATAGTGACTTGGAGCTCTACTTCAAACAGCACTTTACCACACAAGGCAGAAACAATTTGAATGCTTTACTGAATTTAAGACAGTTAGAAATAGACAACTGAATTACCTATTGGTTTAAGTGCAATACAAGCCTGGGCAGTACCAAGACATGCCTCAGCAGGCTTAGCTTAGCTGCTACAAAGGAGCACCTCTAATGAATTCAGATGGGCTACTGTTTTGCATGGAGTAAGCCTTGGGGCAAAGGCTATGACCTAAACAAAATTGTAAAGGCACATACCAGAACTGACACCTTATTTTATCCTCAACTAACTCGTATAAATAAAGGCTCTGTATTTTTCAAACACAACAGCATATGAGAAATTATTCAACTGACAAAAGAATGTGAATGCATTTTCCTACACTGAGGTATAATACCACAGATTATCTCAGAACTGAACATGTGGACATGTTTTGCTATTTCAACTTGCATAAATCTTTTTGAAAGATACAGATCTGCCTCATTTGCATAGAAACTCACAGAGCACTAGGAAGGTCTCCGAAAATCTTCTGAAGGGACTACGAAAAGGACAGTTTTTTTCTTCTCGGAATGGAGCCTGGGCTAGAATAGCGTTGTAACCTGAAAGACCCTCACAACTGAGACATATAAAGGCTCAATTTTCAACTTTTTCAATCCATGAAAAGAGTATGTGATGATATGGATGCAGAAGTCCATTCTGAAATGCAGCAAAGAACAATGCCTCCTGAGGTACCTGCTGGCCTGATTTATACTCTGAAAAATCACACAGGAAACTAACAGGGAAAAAGCAAGATATCTGCCATTTAAGCTTCATCTGCGTATGTGGTTTAGAGGCAGGTAAATATTTAATGCCAAGTTTTTCAGAGTGAAATGACAGACAAAATAGATGTATAAACATCTACGTATGCACACCTGGATGCCTCCACATTTACAGAGAGAAATATACGAACTCAAGACCTCAGACAGAAAATACTTATTTGTATGAACAGCTGCAGTTCACTGGTTATAAACAGCACATGCATTTGTGCCATTTATAAGGCGCAGGCCCAGGTTAGTGCAAGTGTAACCTACAGCTATCCCATTTGTACATTAATATGCCCAGCTTCTATCCAGTCACTCCCACTAGCATGCCTAAAACAACTTTTAGATGGCCACAGCTGTAGGTGCATTTATGCTACTGAAAGACAGAAATAGTAAATTACTGGCTCATATTCTTCAGCACTTTTTTCCAACTGGCTGAGTAATGAATCCATCCGTCTCAGGTGCGGAGTCAGCTCAGAAGCAGGAGCAGCATAACAATCATTTATGAAAAAGGATGGGGTAACTTCAGGAACAGTTCTACAGGTTGGGATCAACGGCAAATCCAGTGGCAGATTACTGCAGATACAGAAGCAAAAAACAGAGATTAGCTGGCACAACGTGGCTAACACCCATAAATGTATATATGGACCAATATTCTTTATGCAGATCTAAAACATAAACCAAAAAAAAGTATTTCCATGAACAGGTCCAATAAATTATTTTCGTAAATACCTTCTGTAATATTACGAGGATCACTATAAACAGCATACCTGTCCTCAAGCTCTGACTTGGTAGGAGTCTCTTGATCAGAATATACGATAGTGCAAACAGTCTCCTCCTGACCACAGTGTGTCTCATACTGACTATGTGCCTGTGTCACAGCTCCATCTGAAGTTTGGTAGAGTGCAGAACTCCAGCCAAGGCCCATGTGTGCTGACGAGTCTATCACCTCCTCATCAGCACTCCTGCTGCTGTCACTGTAGCTGTCTCTTCTAGATGGAGATTTTAACCTTTTCTTGCTCAGATCAGTAGTTTCATTTTCATCTGAGCTGTCACCTTGTTCTCCATTTGATGGACCAGAAACTTCTCTGCTGACATCTGGAAATACTTGTTGAGGTGAGTGGATGGGAGTCTACAGAGAGCAAGGATATTTAATTCATCAAACTCCACTATTGATAGCAAAAGAAAGTTGCAAAGACTGCCTAAAATTACCAAAAGCAGTTAGTGACTCCTTCCATTGAGATGTTGCCTCAATTGTATAAACATATCACAGTCTAGTTCTACTAAGTTCAACACAACTTGGCCAAGATAAGATGTGCAAAACTTTTAAACGTATAGTACTAAAGAACTGCAAACTCATCTAAGGAAAACAAACATACTCTTGGCTTTAGCCTCGGATAGCCTACTCAGAAATGCCCAGCGGTCATCTAGGCAATTACCATGAAATCCCTTCCAACCAGAGAACACTGCTGACACTTAGAGTGCACCTGAAGTCAAACTAATCTCAAATCAGAGGTAAAAAGAGCAGCTTCCAAGCAAAAAACCTACATAACGGATTACAAAAACTACAGTAATCTGCACCGAATGGAGACTGTTTAGCCAAGTTATTAACTCCCATAAGAACAAAGAACAGTTTTGCCAGTAATCACATACTCCCAAGAATGATGTCAGCTAGCAGACATACAAAGTTTAAAAGCTTCATTTACACTTCTATGGCCAAATTCTTGTGTACAGGAACACACTCATCTGTGATAATGTTATAAATAAAAATTGTCATTTATTTATTATTTTTTTTTCTTTTAATATATGTGCTATTTTATTGAACTTACTACATGCTACAAACAGGTTGATTACAGGACTAGTTATTTCTATTATTAGTCTGTTCAGTTTCATATCTCTTACTCTAATTTTAGCTTCACTTAAATTTGTATTTGTACATTTAAGTTTCTGTCATCGGACTTGAATGGTTTTTATTGTTTGAAAATTATATTAAAACAAATTAAGACATCTCCCTTAGTTTTATGCTTTTCTGTATCATGGAAAGCTTAATTTCCAGGCGAACTGCCCTCTACATACTCTTTTGCTGTTAATTTCCACTTCTTCCGAGCATTCTAAAATGGCCTCTTGTTCTTTCGATTTACTTATTTGAGCACTTTTAAATTATTCTGTGGGACACTTCTAATTTCCAGTAAGTAAATACAGCAAATCTTTCTGCGGTTTTACATGCATCAAAATCAGACAAATTGGTGTTCTGCAAAATATTCTTCACATACATTACAGAAATATCCAACTTCTATTTGGGATCAACTTCAAATCACTGGGCTGCAAAGAAACCCCTGCCATAGAAACAGTGTATTAAGCCAATTTCCAATGACTTAAACCACAAAATAGAGGAAAGAAATTGTTAAAACCCTACATTCTTTTCACATTTCCACAAAATATTTAGTACACTACTGAGAGCTTACATTTCTGTGAGCACCCTCTCCATCTTCCCATCTGCATCTTGCATTTAACTAACCCCCGCACCAGACCGAATAAACAAACGTTCAAATAGCAATTTTAAAAAAAAATAATTAAAAAAAAAAAAATCACATGTCATACGCCTTACCAACAAAGAAGGATCGATGTCTGGCAGTATACCAGATGGTGGTCGACAAAGGAGAAGAGAGACTTCTGGAGATGTTCCTCTCAGAGCAGAGATGACTTCCTGTGGCCACAGTGGGATTTATTATTAGATGCAGACCCCCAAGACTTGCAGGCCTACAATAGCATGAGTTTCACTACTAAGTTACAAACCTGCTGGGATAAACCCTTGAGCGATGCCCCGTTCACTTTTAGAATGACGTCCCCAATTTCTATCTGCCCACTTTCTGCGGCAGGCTGCCCAGGGAAGAGTTTTTTGACCCTCACAATTGTTGAGCCCAGTTGCTCTGGGGTAAGGTTATCTTCACGGCAGAAACTGAACCCAAGGCCTGAGCTATTCTTCAACAGCTTCACCTCAAATGTGTTCTCTGCAAAAGAAACAGTAATGTCATTATTTCCTACAGCACACTGGACATGAAAAAAAAAAAAAAAAGCATCTGGAGCCCATACCCCAGAAATGATCCCCTTTACAGGGTTCTTCCACTTTACTGAACACACCTGTTATCTAAAAGATCCCTCCATGTTAAAGAGGATAAAAACCTGATCTGACTTCTCAGTCTGCTGACTTTGCCCCGACAACATCTGCACTACACAAAAAGCCAGGGTGTCTCCAAAATACTATTCCCCAGGAAGTCCGATAAGGAGACTGTTAAAAAGCAGAGTGACACAATCTTTCTGGCCACTGAGCAGACATTAATCAGAGCAGCAACTGGAGGGCCTGGCAAACAGGATAAATCTCATGCATAAAGACCAAAAGCTATCTGCAGTGTTTTCCCCATTTGGGTGAGCTTCCCTTCACTTTCAAGGGTTTCCAGCAAGAGTAAGCCGCAATATGTCAACCTCTAGTCAACTACACAAATATCTCTTCTCTCTTCATTTAGCTCTTGATTCTTCTCTCATTTAGACAGGAACAGCAGGACCTACAACAGAAGCTCTCATTTATATATCGGTATCACCTCCCCTTGGCATTCCCTAGCAGCACAGCACCCTTTTTACCCCAAGCTTGCTACAACCTTGGCGTGCAAGACTGATGAAATTGGGAAACAACAAGGAACAGTGAGAGAGCAAACAGTAACTAAAAGTTACCAAGATGTGAAAACAAATGTTAAAAACAAACACCAGAGCACAAAAAGGAAGAGACTGGATTATGTACAGGGGCTCAGTATAGATTCCTATAGGCTCTTTCTCCTGTCTGCTTTTCTATTCTACAGAAGATTTGAAAACATAAAAACTAAAGGACACTTTAAAAGTTCAATCGTTCTATGTGACCTGACCTGCAGTGACAAAGCTGTAATCTTTGGCATTTGTAGTTTTTGTCGCTGGTTTCTCCTGTGGCTCACATTGCCCCACCTGATTTGGAGGCGTGCGCTGTAGCGTTGCTGGAGCATGAACCTTGGCCACTGAAAGCTGACCTTTTTCCAACAGCAAATGCACCACCTAAAGAGATGAAACATTCATCAGTTAATTGGTAATGGTCTTGGAGATAGCACAGTCTAAAATACATGTTTCTTTCTAACTTCCCAGGGTCCTAAGTTTTACAGCAACAAGCTTTATAGACATCTCTCTTCCCATACATCCTCCATTTGTTCTCTATTTTAAGGGCTATGTCAACTTCCAAAATACACCAGTGGACTTGAAAGATACTTGCCAACACAGTGTAAGAAAGGGTTATCTTCCAAAAAAGGTTTTGAGCGGGTTAAGAAGTGTCAAGACAGTGTCATTTTCACATGTGTACATGGAACAGACTTAAAAGCATTTTATGAAGTGAGCCCAAATAGTAGTCCTTAGTAGCTCTGACTGTGTACGTTCACTGGCTATTTTCAGGTGTGCATGTACTTCCATGTATGAAGCAGCCACCACAAATAGCATTATCAGATGAGGGGACACCACCGTAGAGTCAAGAGCCATCCAAAAAGGCCAAGTAAAGCTACCAACACAGAAGGCAAACACAGCTGCATATACGGAGTCCCCTGCCTCCTCAGTGGTTCCAGTTCAGGACATGTCTGTAGCATGATGCTACAGCTGCTTTCCAACCTGTGCACCTGGGCTTCCTTCCTACTAAGACCAGGGACAAGGAGAAATCAGTTCCATTCAGACCTCTCAACTGCACAGAGTCAGAATTACAGCAGGGTGGGCAGTGCAACTCAAGGCCTAGGAAGCCAAGGAGTCTAAGAAAGCCCACCTAAAGCAACAGGGACACTGGGAAGAATGCCACTCTTCAGGTTTCTTTACCTCTTTTCATTCTCAAAGATTTGATTTACTATAGATAGGGAGTAGAATCAGCAGCTGCTTACCTGCCCAGTGTTTCTCAGTGTTTCAACAGCTTGCTTATGGGTAGCACCTTCCAAACTAATCCCATTGACAGAGAGCACACGGTCACCTACAAATGATTGATTAATAATTTAAGAAAAGGTAGGCAGAACATCATCTATAAAATGTATGCGACAGAAAACCTTTCATTTCTCAGCTGCTAATAAAGACAGTAATTGAAGTAAATTCTCCCTTCCCTTCACACTCTGAGTCAAGAAGAAAACTTTGCAACTAAACTATATCGTTGGACTAAATGATCTTAATGGTCTTTTCCAACCTAAACGATTCTATGATTCTGTGTGATAACCCCATGTCAAAACTAGTGTTAGCCTGAGAATGATAGCCTGCCGCAAAGTTAAGACTCTCTATCAAAAACAAATCTTAGTCTAAAGTGGCAATTCTCTCTTCAGTACAGAATGTGGCCTGGCTTACAAACAAGAAAAGTCCTTACAATTACAACGATTTTCTGTACTGAGTTGCCCAGCGTGTCAAGAAGGAGGGTTACAAATAATACAAGACTTTCTCTCTCCATGGCTGGAACAGAGAAGTGTTCTCCACTAACACAGGCTGCATTAGTAAAAAAAATAAAAAAAATGGAAAAAGTCTTTTTTTCCCCTCTGTCTCATCAGTTTTCTGTTGGTTCCACAGTTGTTCTACACTTTAGAAAAATCTTCATCTGCAAGCTATCACGGCAGTATTTAAAATGACAAATGTAAATGCCGCAGGTTGGAAAACCATCTCTTTTTCACAGTGTAAAAGGTACAATGAAGGGAGGCAGTTCCTAGTTTTCACATAAAGAACTGAAATACTACCTTTTTCAATTCTGCCATCTGCTTCAGCTGCTCCCTTAGGAATAATTGCTTTCACATAAATACCACCATGCCTTATGCTAGTATTTACACCACCCTAAATGGAAAACAAAAATAGGATTCTTCAGTCTTTTTGCAGTTAGAATACTTAGTAATTAAACATAGCGTCACACAAGGAAAACTGTATTCAGGAAGCACTTGGGCTACTGGCAAAATCAAAAAGTTACACAAAGCATGTTTTTGCAGCCATGCAATTTATTACGAATGAATTTTTGGTAGGAAGGACGTAAAAACACAATGCATCACAGCGCAAATGCACTCAAACCAAATAAATGTCCTTGAGCAGAAATATGGCTGCATTATGCTGTACTCCACATGCTTGCATGCGTTTCACAGCTCAGAGGTGTGTGAGAGCACAGCATGCCAAAGCAGAAGATGCAGACCCATGCAGTGTTCTACTCCAATACACCCTCTCTGATGTAACAGGACGCTAAGGAGTGCTGCTTTCTCTCAGCACTCAGTTTTCTCTCAGTTTGAAGTTTTAAGCTGAAAAAGTCTGCTCAAGCTCAAATGGCGTTGTTTTTGGAGGGCCTTAGCCTTTCTGCTTATCATAGGGGAGGGTGGACTAGATCATCTTTAAACGTCCTTTCCAACCCAAACCATTGCATGATTCTGGCTCACTGCTGCACTACCAGCACTTCTCCATAAACTTGGACAGAGGAGGGAGACCAACAGTGTATTAACGCTCACTCCCAAAGCACACAGTGTTACGTGTGAAAACGTAAAACATAGAACCTAATCGTGCACCTCTTCTTCTCACCACTGTAAAGCACAGCAATGCAAGGGGTGGAACAGAGGCTGAAAAAGGCAAGATCAATGAAGATACCATTTGGTCATCCCTTAAGGGAAATTTCTGCATCGGCTGGCATCTTCAGAGCCAATGTATGCATCCAGCAGGCTCGATGCTATTTTAGTAACCAACTCCTCCC